CAGCTTTAAGTCCTCGTCTTAGCTTCCGTCATATGTTTTCTGTTGACTACTGATAAAAAGCAAACTTATAACTCCCAATAAATTTGCGATGTCTGAGTGTCAAAAACGATCTTGATGATTAATTCCTTGTTGGTTGAAATCTCTCCACTTCAATCTAAATCATAAAAACTCCTAATGTCAGTACAAACTCTGATCCACGTTAACACTTTGTACTGTGAGGGAGGCGTCTTAAAGCATCAAGAATGACAGAGGGCGAACTGGCTTAGATCCAAGACTGATAGTGAAATGTCTTGAAGCCGAGGCTGGCAGAGAGTGAAATGTCTTAGGTCCGAAACTAACTGAGTGACATGTCGTAAATCCCAGACTGAGAGAGAGAGCGAAATGCGTGGCATATGTCAAAAATTGGCAGAGAGCGAGGTGACTTTTATCCGAAACTGATAGAGATAGAAATGTCTTGAAACTGAGGTTGACAAGATGGAAATGTCTTAAATAAGAAACTGGACGAAAGTGAAATGACATAAATCCGAAAATGACAGGGAAAGAGATGTCTTATCTATGATAGAGAGCAATGTGTTTAAAAAAAAAAGAGACATATAGAGACTGGGGTGTCTTCATTCCAAAACATACAGCGAGTAAGATGTCATAAACAGAGAGAGAGAGAGAGAGAGAGAGAGAGAGAGAGAGAGAGAGAGAGAGAGAGAGAGAGAGAGAGAGAGAGAGAGAGAGAGAGAGAGAGAGAGAGAGAGAGAGAGAGAGAGAGAGAGAGAGAGAGAGAGAGAGAGAGAGAGAGAGAGAGAGAGAGAGAGAGAGAGAGAGAGAGAGAGAGAGAGAGAGAGAGAGAGAGAGAGAGAGAGAGAGAGAGAGAGAGAGATTTACAGAGGGTGAGATGTTTTTAATGCGAGATTAACTGAGAAATGCCTTAAAACCTTCAGTTATCTTAAAACCAAGACTGAGAAATAGATGTCTTATATCCGCGACTGCAAGAAACTGAAGCGTCTGGATGCAAACAGCGTGGGTGTTTCTGAAATTACGCAACTGTAATGTAATAGCGGTAAAAAGATGAAAAAGTGGTAAACACGATGAAATATATATATATCAATATTATGCTATTCGGAGAAGCACGTCACAACTGTTCATATGTCTAAGTATATCCCATATAGCTGATACCGGTGATTGGAGAATATTAACATATTTACATATATACAACTAACACCTCTACATGATATAACCAAATAAAGTATTTACCCCGAAAAGGTCATTCGGTTTCAAATAATTATCTGACACCACATCATGTCAATTTAATTTCCATACGTAAGTAAATGCCCGAGGGCGTTGTAGAAATACTGCAATGTCCGTACATACAAGTCACGCGCAAAATAACGTACGCTCGCACTTTCCATTAATCACATTGGTTTACCGGATGTTCTGTTGTTTGGCACTCTTTGTCATGAAAATGACTTTTCCAAGTACGCAAATTCAGGAGAAAACCTGCTAGTTGAGCCCTCACGTGGCACCGGACTGGATGATTTGAACTTCAACGCAGTCCTGTTGCATAATTTACATATTTGAACAATTTTCTGATGAATTTATTGCAGAATAATTGACTTAAATCGGGTTGCCGATGTATGTTTTTAAAGATAATTTTCGAAGTTTATTGTAAAATTATACCAGATTATGATCCTGAACCATAGCTATTAGGTGTTTGATCAATGCTTCATTAGCAGAGGTTCTATCTTACGTTCTGTTGTATTGGTTGTCTCAGCTTCCACATGTTGATGCTGCAGTCTGATACAATGAATCCACACTACTATAGATTGGCGTGTTGACACGGGTTTACCCGAATGCACATACAAGTTAGTGAAAATAGCGATTATCTTGTGTTAATTAGTAGGTACAGAAACATGGTGTATAAAACCTAGCGCTGGACGTGCTATACGTTATGAATTTCATTATTTTGTCATATAATGTTTCCCCGGTGGATTGTTGTTTATATTGTAATTTTCCAAACTAGTCATCCATGACAATATTCACAGAGACATATACACATCTCCATTGGCGCTTCCATCATGACAGAAGAGTTCCGATGACTAAACAATCGATTTTTCAAACAAAACTAAATGACTGTACCCGCAGAAGGCAAATATAACCAATGAAATATTCATGACCAAATAGTATATGATGTGAACCAGGTGATACATAAGTCTATGCTAGGTCTGTGTCACTGCTGTACTGTAGTAGTACGTTAATATTGCTAGCCCTAAGTTGTGACTTCATATAATATTGTGATGAAGAACATGCTGAAAGATATTTCCAAACAAAATCTAGTTTTTGTTAAAAGAAAACCGCAAGAGATTACCAACATGCCAACATGAACATAATCCCAACCGAAATTCAATAAAACTAGGGCAAAACATGGACAAAAGAAAGATTTACACGGAGACTCCTTAAAAAGTACAATTAGAATAAAACCAGGTTTTCCAAAAGAGCAAGCGTCTTCTGCTATTTCGCCGACAACCGCCTCTAAACCGTGATCAATCCGTTACTTAAAAAAAACGGGTTCAAAGTAAAAGTTATGTTTTATAATCTCTAAACATTCTACTATCTTTATAAAGTTTAACATTTAACTCTAACAGAATGTTTTAACCTAGTATATCAATTTAGCCTTCAACTTCTTCCGTATTTGGAGGTATTCAGGGTAGATCATAATGACATACTTTAGAACTGAAAAAAGTTATTCGTGCCATTGGTCTGTTCGACTTGCAAACTGATGTGAATTGAAAATACCGAACCAATAAAGCATTTATATAGCAACATCTGAACACAAAACATTTAAAATAGACAAAGCACTGTCGGCATTTTGCATTTCATTTGTGCTGTAAAAACGAATCGTTCCATTCTGTGACACATACATATGCATGTTTAAATCAATTTTATGGGACCCATTTTATAAGGCATGTCATTTGAACAGAAAGTTATGGTGAATTTTGAAACCGGAAACATCGATAATCATCTATCATTGATAAGTTACTTACAACACAATACAGGTAAATGAGGAAAACGTCACAAAATTTTCATATATAACCAATCAGAAAACAGAATTCTGTTTGGTTTGTATGTGTGATATGTATGGACTAGTGTATATATCATTGCAAATGCTACGGGTATCTCTGCATATTCGTTACAAAATAATCGATTTTAGTTCAAATGCAATACATTTGGCTTCGGAATTGACAAGTGTCTCTTTTGGTTTTTAGGGGAAATGGAGGTTTGATATGTGTGCGGAAAAACGTAACGGGTTAAGCGAGTGTTTTAAAACTACACAGCTTGTTCCCGAGAATACAAAAATTACGAGTAGTGACGCGCATTCGCTAATATATCTCGTATAGTAGTAAAGTAGTGGACTATAAAGTGACTTTAAACCTATCTGATAATACGGCACGTAATCATTCAGTAGTAGCATCCGGTAAGATAAAATCATGTATGGCATAAAATATCCAACAATGACAATTTTTACTGGATTGCCTTTTCTATAATCGCCAAAGAAGACAATGCATGCATGATACATGTCCATCAACAGGAAATGTCATGCATGATACATGTCCATCAACAGGAAATGTCATGCATGATACATGTCCATCAACAGGAAATGTCATACATGATACATGTCAATCAACAGGAAATGTCATACATGATACATGTCCATCAACAGGAAATGTCATACATGATACATGTCCATCAACAGGAAATGTCATGCATGATACATGTCCATCAACAGGAAATGTCATGCGTGATACATGAAATCCAACAAGAAATGTCATGCATGATACATGTCCGTCAACAGGAATGTCATGCATGATACATGTCCATCAACAGGAAATGTCATGCATGATACATGTCAATCAACAGGAAATGTCATACATGATACATGTCCATCAACAAGAAATGTCATGCATGATACATGTCCCTCAACAGGAAATGTCATACATGATACATGTCCATCAACAAGAAATGTCATGCATGATACATGTCCGTCAACAGGAATGTCATGCATGATACATGTCCATCAACAGGAAATGTCATGCATGATACATGTCCATCAACAGGAAATGTCATGCATGATACATGTCCATCAACAGGAAATGTCATGCATGATACATGTCCATCAACAAGAAATGTCATGCATGATACATGTCCTTCAACAAGAAATGTCATACATGATACATGTCCATCAACAGGAATGTCATGTATGATACATGTCCAGTAACAGGAATGTCATGCATGATTCATGTCCATCAACAGGAAATGTCATGCATGATACATCAACAAGAAATGTCATGCATGATACATGTCCATCAACAAGAAATGTCATGCATGATACATGTCCATCAACAGGAAATGTCATGCATGATACATGAACTCCAACAAGAAATGTCATGCATGATACATGTCCATCAACAGGAAATGTCATACACGGTACATGAACTCCAACAAGAAATGTCATACATGATACATGTCCATCAACAAAAAATGTCATGCATGATACATGTCCATCAACAAGAAATGTCATGCATGATACATGTCCATCAACAGGAAATGTCATGCATGATACATGAACTCCAACAAGAAATGTCATGCATGATACATGTCCATCAACAGGAAATGTCATGCATGATACATGAACTCCAACAAGAAATGTCATGCATGATACATGTCCATCAACAATAAATGTCATACACGTTACATGAACTCCAACAAGAAATGTCATACACGTTACATGAACTCCAACAAGAAATGTCATACACGATACAATACATGTACTTCAACAATAAAGTCAATGATTATTGCTGGTATCTTTGATACATGTCTGCTTCCGATTTATAATCGTTTTTCCTGTGTCATCGTTCTATTCTCAAAATATGAATAGCTAACTGGTGTTAAGATCCTCTGTTTATTGTGGCAATGTGATAACCTGGATTAATCTGATATCTTTATTTACAGTCATGGATGTGAACATAACAGCGATCCTTAGTATGTTCCTCTCCTTACTTCTCATCATGCCCGCCCTGTCCATACCTCTAGACAGCCAGGAGACACAGGTAAGCATTATCGTTTAATCAAACGTGTTACTGAATGAAGACTCCACGCCTTCCTCTATATGAAAACATTTTCATTGTGACAGCAATCAAGATGCTGCGAAATGTTTAACCAGTACGCTCTCCTATGTATGCACAATGCTCTTTCAAGCCTCAGTTACCTACACATATGCCACAGAACATGAAAAAATATTAACAATAGCGTTCAAAGTGGTAGTGGTAGAACGTGGCTAGAATATTTCTGTTCACAGGGTTAAAGTTGTTGTTCATGGTGATAATCGTAGTAAGACACGATGGAAGCAGCGACTGGACTTCGGTAATGGGGACAGAACGCGAGAGCTTAACCAAATGATTTGCCTTGACAGGACGGCGATAATCTTGGCAGAACGCGACAGCCAAACCAAACAATATCTGTTTTGTTTGGACGTCGATAATCGTGACAGAACGCGGCAGATAAACCGAACAATCTCTGTAGAAAGGCTGAAAACTTGGTCTTGTACAAAAATGTACTTTTCCTAATGCTTCAAAATAAGTAGGTTCCCGCTACGATCCTACCGTGTTAAATGACTGCCCACAAATGTGTCAGGATGCAGTTACGCTAGAAGCTCGTACCACGCTACCTTCGTCGTTGCCACTAAGCAACAGTCGCCAATACAAGTCGCCGATCCCGTTTGACTACAATAGTTTGACACAAAGACCTTGCTATGATAATTCTCGCATGCACAAAAATGTCGTATCTCTACCTACCTCTATACTCAACCATCTGCAATAAATATACCAATATGATCGCATTAAGAGCATTTTCCACGACCTAATGAAGAGTTTTGAAGATCAAACCAATATCTTACGCCGTGGCCTTCCTTGTTCCTTTGTTGAAGGGAGATGTTTCAGTCCCTTGGCTGTGCAGACCGACATATTTAATTCGAATGTTACTCCCGACAAACAATTGATGATCTAAAAGCTCTAGAAGCTTTCACTGTGTATTCAAAATAACAGCATGAACATTTTTATTCTAATTACCTAGCAACGATTGCTATGTAGAAAAAGGAATCGTTGGAGTGTAGTGTTCCAGTCTGTTTTATCATGTTGACCACAACTCTGTGACGGGTGAGGAAGGAGAGTGCGTTTGTTTAACTACATATTATTGCCACTGACGTTTCTCTTTGGATCGTAGAATCACCAAAACTATTGCAATCTCACCCTTAAAAAGTTTTTTTTCATACTCCACAGTTATTGGTCAATTTTAACAATCGTGTATGTAAACTATTAAAGAAATGTTTTAATCATTGTTCGTTATACATTTTCGTGGGTAGACGGAGAGAAGACAATTAAAATGTAAAGCAGGTATACAGTGTAAAGGGAAGCAGGATATACAGGGGCAGTGCCACTTGTGACGGGAAACAGAATAGTCGGGACGAGACACACTGTTGGCCTGAAACAGCATAGTCGGGACGAGACACACTTTTGACTGGAGACAGAAAAGACAGGACCAGACAAACTTCTGACCGGAAACAGAATAGACTGAACTAAGACACGCTTCAGCCTGGAGAAAAGAATGATGGAACCAGTGAGGCTTTTGACTGGAGACAGGATCGGTGGGACCAGTTATGCTTCTGACTGGAGACAGGATCGGTGGGTCTGGTGATGCTTCTGACTGGAGACAGGAGCGGTGGGGCCAGTGAGGCTTCTGACTGGAGACAGGAGCGGTGGGACCAGTGATGCTTCTGACTGGAGACAGGATCAGCGAGTCTAATGATGCTTCTGACTGGAGACAGGAGCGGTGGGACCAGTGAGGCTTCTGACTGGAGACAGGATCGGTGGGACCAGTTATGCTTCTGACTGGAGACAGGAGCGGTGGTTCTGGTGATGCTTCTGACTGGAGACAGGAGCGGTGGGACCATTGAGGCTTCTGACTGGAGACAGGAGCGGTGGGACCAGTGATGCTTCTGACTGGAGACAGGAGCGGTGGGACCAGTGAGGCTTCTGACTGGAGACAGGAGCGGTGGGACCAGTGATGCTTCTGACTGGAGACAGGAGCGGTGGGACCAGTGATGCTTCTGACTGGAGACAGGAGCGGTGGGACCAGTGATGCTTCTGACTGGAAACAGGAGCGGTGCGACCAGTGAGGCTTCTGACTGGAGACAGAATCGGTGGTTCTGGTGATGTTTCTGACTGGATAAGTAAAGATTGGTCAGTCACGCCACTACCAGTCATACGGCAATGCGCCTTAATCACCGGGGATCGATTTGATAGCCAGGATAATGGACTATGTATTGTATGAAGTAGCAGTGCCAATAGGACCTATAGTGTGTAGACGTAATATACTTATATTACTGTCAATACAACTTCATTCATCTACATCAGCCTGTCAGGAAACAAATTAACACTTACATAATATACGTAGAACCAAAATACTGATATTTCATATATATCTGTAATAAATATTTTTCGTTTACATTTTTGTCGGTGAAATACAGAAATTCATCAAATTTATAAAAGCATACCATAGTAGAATACAGCGTACAGCTCTCTTTCCCTAATGGCGTTATCATGTTGCCAAATGTAACGTCAAACTATCTAACGTCATAGAACGTGCTAATCTTTCTTATGTTTTTTATGTTATGTTTGGATCTCTTTTTTCATTTGTTTTTTTCTTTAAGAATAAAGCAAAACATAATTTAGTGGTTTCCTGTTAAATCTAATATATATTTCACTTGTGGCAGGAGATATTTGTCAAAAGTGCGATATCTTTGATTTTCTATGTGTATGATTCTGTATATATGATTATTAACATGAAACCATTTCCTGTAAACTAATAAACATGTTTATTAATTTATGAAACATCTGATAAAATCTTCAATTAATCCATTACATATGACGTTTTCGTTACTTCATCATAGCTTTAAGAGATATATACACCTATTATTTGTTCCAAGAGACATTCACATTGATTATCTACTAGATAAAATTACAAGTTAATATGCAACCAAGTGTATATATAGACACCTTTAAAGTCCTGTTATTTATTTTTACTATTTTTGGAGATAAATTCGATTCGTTTCTGAACAATTTAAAAATCGTGTTGCCATGAAGAAAATTCTAGGTGATACATATTTCACTGCATAGGGATGGAGGAATACTAATTCGTTCGACGTGTTGTAGGAACCTTTACTGGGAAATTATACTGTACAAACAGCAGACGGGAAGCATAACCTTTTGGCAACATTGTAGATGTTCTAAATAATTCATGTTTATCGTTGTGATGTACCAGTATCTTGGGAAAATATCCTCGAGTGTATATGCACAAAAACAAACAACCTTTATCGTTTTGAATATCAGTATGTATTGTTAATGCAATAACGTTAAACCTGTATACAGAAAACCTCGCATAGTTTTTATTAGAGACCAGTAGGGAATCGTAAGTACATGCATTAGCGTCAGAAAATAGCAGTACGGTCACTGTATATACAGAAATCTAATGCAATAAACAGATTACCAAAATAATTTACAGCAGCTCTAAATTAGCTGATATTGTTGTATATCTTTGCTATACTACATTATTGTCATTAAAGAGAGAATCAGGTGGACTACTCTCAAAACGGCGTTATAGCTGAATAGTGTCAAAACGGGATGAATTCGCCTTAATACGGCCAAAAAATAATGAGATTACGTAACGTTAATACAATCAAAACATATTGATGCTTTCTTACCATAGTAAAAAAAAAAATAGTGACGCATCGTTATTAAAGTTAAAACATGGTGACATAGCTATTGTTCACTGCTATCAAAGTGTGTTACGAAGCTTTATTACTGTCAAAAATTGGGTGACTTAGCTTTACTACTGTCAAAACAGTGTAGTGACGTAGCCTTACTTATGTTTAAACAGGGTGTTGTGGATTTACTACTATGTGAACAGGGTAACGAGTCTTTACTAGTGTCAAACACCGTGGCGTAGATTTATCAATGTCAGAGCGATGTGATTTAGCTTTAATACTGTCAAAACAGGGTGACGTAGCTGTAATATTGTAAAAACAGGGTGATGTGTAGCTTTACTGCTGTCATAACAGGGTGATGTGTAGCCTTTCTACTATAAAAACAGGGTGACGTAACTTTAACATTGTCAAACAGCGTGACGTAGCTTTATCAATGTCAGAAAAGTGTGACGTAGCTTTAATACTGTCAAAACAGGGTGACGTAGCTTTAATATTGTAAAAACAGGGTGACGTAGCTTTATCAATGTCAGAAAGGTGTGACGTAGCTTTAATACTGTCAAAACAGGGTGACGTAGCTTTAATATTGTAAAAACAGGGTGACTTAGCTTTATCAATGTCAGAAAGGTGTGACGTAGCTTTAATACTGTCAAAACAGGGTGACGTAGCTTTAATATTGTAAAAACAGGGTGACGTAGCTTTATCAATGTCAGAAAGGTGTGACGTAGCTTTAATATTGTAAAAACAGGGTGACGTAGCTTTACTACTGTCCAAACAGGGTAATGTATAGCTTTACTGCTGTCATAACAGGGTGATGTGTAGCGTTACCACTGTAAAAACAGGGTGACGTGGCATTACTACAGTCAAAACAGCGTGACGTACATGTAGCTAGGTGACGAAAGTTTAATTCAGTCAAAATAGAATGACGCAGACTTAATAATGTGAAAAATAGAAGACTTAGTTTAACTTCTGAAGCAGAAAGAAGAAGCAATTCTACACTAAAAACAGGAAAATATACGGGGTGACGTTCATCTGTTTGGTATAAATGATATTTGTAGAGGTGTTTATTGTATTTGTGAGCTTTCAAAAACGTCTGATTATTTTTTTAAACAAACACAACTGAGTGGACAAACGTCGTTAAACATGTACTGATATTCTTGCTAAATCTTTAATGTTTCCTATCAAATATCTCTCACTTAATATATGCCACAAAGTCTTCCATTAAAACTTACTTTAAAGATCTCCCTCTAAATGCCTTCTACTAAAAATTCCATTAGATATCTCCCTCTAAATGCCTCACATTAAAAAATCATTAAGTATCTCCCACTAAAGATCCCATTAAATATCTCCCTCTAAATGCCTCCCACTAAAAATTCCATTAAATGTCTCTCATTAAATGTTTCCCATTAAATATCTCCCTTTAAATGTCTTCCACTAAATATCTCCCTCTGAATGTCTTCAATTTAAAATCTCCCATTAAATATTCCCACTTAATTTCTCCTACGAAAGATATCCCACTAAATCTCCCAGAAAAATATCTCTCATTGAGTAAATCAAACCAATTATCTCAAACTAGATTTCTCCAACTCAATTTATCCCTCTAAGTATCCAACTCATTATCTCTCACAAAATTTCCCACTGAGTATCTATCACTAAATCTCCCCTACTGAACAGTTCCCATGAAGTAATCCAACTAAATATCTCTTACTGAATATCTCTCACGGGATTTTTTCAACTAAATATCATCCTCTTGATAAATTGGAACTCGTTCCATACCTGTATTAGATTTGTATCTGTTTTTTTTAAAGGTGAAGTTCCTTTAAGTTAGTATGTACCACGAAACAATATAGAATAAATGTGCGAAAAGAAACATAACTCAATGCCACCTTTCAATCCATTAGATGCTGCGTATATTTGATATGTCAAAAATCGAATCAATTAGCACACATCAGTCGTCATTTCAGAATATTTGAGAAGCTAGAGGCCTGATGTCTGGGAATGTCGTTTGCAAATTCGTTAAACACAAATCAGTACCCAAAACAGGAATTTTGTGCTTGGAAACCTATAGCAATTATAGGTATAGAGTATGTTACCTGACATTAAGGTTTATATTAACATCCGTTATTCCTCAAAAATGAAAAAAAAAGAAGCTTAATAGAAAATGACATAGTTACATAATTCATTCAAATGTTATTACGCAGTGTGACGGAGAATCAGAACTGATATCGGTTGTCTTCAACGTTCTAATGATATATTTTATGTATTTCACATCTCACCAGCACTGGATTAGATTTGAGCAGATTTCCTTAAAATGTAACTTTTAGGTTGACAATAATTCACGTTACACATTAAAAGACGAAGGAAGTGCGGACATCGTAGTTAATTCCGTTTCCGAGATGTTGTGATTTGTCGGAAATGCACATCTCTGACTCGAAAGAGTTTGACGACGATATGGGACTTCACAAGTTCTACGTCCTATAGAACTGTACCAGGAAGCTTTCCATCGTGTGTTCGATATGCGAGCTTTTTTAAATACTTATATGCTATAATCCGTTGACATTTACTTATTTCGGTTATATTGGAAACGCAGTCTTTTGTAAAATCGTCAATTACGTCCTCACTGTAAAATTCCATATCAGAGCTGTTCCTTTTGAATATGGCCAGGATTATATATAAATCATTGTGTTAATGAAAATCCAAGTCGTTTCGATACCAGTGATGATCCCTTAAGCGTTTTTGTTTATCTATCTGTATTTCAAACTACAAGACTATTTTTTTCAGCTAAAAAGAATGTCATAAAAATGTAGAAAGATCGACATGTAGAATAAATATCAATTTTCACGTTTTATGTATTTCTTATTTATAGTAATTTCCTATAGATTATTATACTTTTCCAACAGTACAATACGTTGGAGCCGGACACGTTAACACAGTACGTGCTTTACATTACAACAACGGTCCGTCCCTCATCAACTACAGTGAATGTTTGACATTGTTCAAGTTAACATCAATCATTCTACTATTGAGATGTCAGGTTTGATTTGAAACATATGACGTGTTTGATGAATTGATCATGTAATCAACGATTTGGATCGGCATTCATTTCTGAAAATCAAAGAAACCCAACGACAAAGATATATTTCCCTGGAAACTTGGTTGTAATCAATTTCTCACAGCAGAATGGCAAACACGCGTCTTACAGACTATCGTGGTAATCAACTCGATCTTGTGGGGTTGTAGAAAAAAATAATGAAAGTTTCGTATCAGTCGCAGATAGGGACGTTCACAGGTAATAACTCACCCGCGGCAAAGCAATCATACTTTCAGGAAAGATACAGGTGAGAAAATCCAGTTGATTATGTGCGGGGAACTGTTTATGCTGTACAGTCAAACGATTCCCAATCTCCCCAAAGTGCCTTTTAATTGCTAGATTAACTTTGAACAGTTCAATGCGTTACTTGTTTTTCAACCAGCAGAAACATATAACAAGTTGAAAACGGGGCAATTAACTTTAATCGAAACTTTAAACATTTAAGATTTGTCGAAGAATATTCACAATTAACAAAATCGCTTAATGGCTCCAAACTCTTTCGCTGCTTTGTATAAATATAAATAAATGAATCAGAAACACTGTACACAGTTCATACTTAACCAGACTGTTAACAAAGTTAATAGATTGCTAGACTATTAACAAAGTTAATAGATTACTAGACTATTAACAAAGTTAATAGATTACTAGACTGTTAACAAAGTTAATAGATTACTAGACTGTTAACAAAGGTTTCAGATAACTAGACTGTTAGCAAAGTTTATAGATTACTAGAATCTTAACAAAGTTAATAGATTGCTAGACTATTAACAAAGTTAATAGATTACTAGACTGTTAACAAAGTTAATAGACTGCTAGACTATTAACAAAGTTTATAGATTACTAAACTGTTAACAAAGTTTATAGATTAGCATACTGTTAAAACAATTTATAGATTACTAGACTGTTAAAACAGTTTATAGATTACTAGACTGTTAGCACAGTTTATAGATTACTAGACTGTTAACAAAGGTTACATTTTATCAGATTGTTGACAATTTTTATATCTTAACAAAATGTTGACAATGTTCATATTAAACCAGACTCTTGACAAAATTCATAGTTTACCAAAATTTTGACAGAATTCTGTATTTTACCACAGAATGTTGACAAATTCCTTATAATTTCATCAAAATGTTGATAAATTTGATATCTAAACTCAAAAAAAAAAAAAAAAAACAATAAATGAAATAATACAAAAAATGAAAAAAAAAGAGAGAAAACTTTAAAGAATCATTAAAAAAAACTAAAATCCCATCTTTAAATGCAATTGAAAAATCCGATATGGTAACATATGTATTTTTTGTCTGTATGTGTTTGGATATCACAGTATTTGTTGCAGAAGAGACGTTATACACAGCACGGCACCAATAATTAATATATGACACATAAATGTAGCATGTAATCACCTACTTGTAGTTGGGTATACTATGACAATCGATATAAACCTTTGACCATATTTCAACATCCTCTTCTAAAACACATTTTTCTAAAAAATTTTCCCACACTGTACACCACTATACCCCATCCTAAACTGAAGGAATGCCTCCGTACTTTTGTTATGAGAGCTTTCTTTTCTAAGAATGGTGAACGGTGGAATAGCTATATACTGGTGAACTATACTGAAGGGCATTTCGTAAAATACGCCCTTATGAAATATACGGACGACGAAATCATAAAGATCGAATTCCTTGTTGACAACATCTCTGTCGAGTTTGGTTGCTAGATCTTCCAACAGACTGTTGACATACCTATGGGAACTAACTGCGCCCTCTATCGGCTGAATCGGTTTTGTTTTCAGACGGAGCTGATTTCTTTCTTATTTCTAGCTTTGTTTGTTCTAGTTTTAGGAGTTTGGATTATGATTATGTATCCATGTTGGTATTTTCTCGACTTTTTATGAACTCCGTGGTCTTCTAACACTTGTTAAAGTAGCTGAGACATTTTTGCGTCAACTTGAAGTAGATGAGAACACTCACATGACGACTGTGGGTACACGGAACACTTTAATTGGCGACTAGGGATTTGCGATTCACTTTACTTTGCACTTTTTGTTTCCACTCATACGTTTTTTTCCGTACCAATATTGTGTATATGAGAAAATGGAGAGCAGAACTTGAAGAAATGTTAACACATATAGGCTGGCAAGGAAATAACATCCTCAATTGATATAAGATATATAAAACATTTTTGAAATTTAAAATTGAATTATTGTTTTACTATTATAGGAGCACCTTGAGGAGAAAAGACCAAAATACATGGACACAAGGGAGCTGGGCGACATGATGCAAGATCTCGTCTACAATGCCTTAAAAGAGGTATGTCTATTTATGTAAAGATCTAAAACAGACGTGTTGTGCATCGGTTATTAGATATGTTCTAACGATATTCCTCTATCAATTGTAGTTAATTCGATCATTGCGACTCGTTTGTCAAAACAATACGAAGAAATTTCAGATCTCGTGATTGGTGTTGATAGGCCTTCAACCCACTCAAATACAACACAGACAGCCAAATATATTATTGCCAAATTCTATAGATATTTCTGAGGACTAAAAACATAAAATATTGTAACTGTGCTGCATAACTCTGCTAAAAATAATCTCCAAAGCTATTAAGAACCTGTATACGTACGAACAATCATAACATTTGTATACCTCAATGGCCATCGTCCTAGGACAGCAGATTTATGAACACCAAGGGTTAGCCGATTTCAATGCTTGTTGGTTCCAAGCAATCCGCCAATTACCAATGGTCCTTCAGGTCGGGTCGAGGATATTCATAGCAAATTACTAATAATAAATGCTTATTAACCTCCAAGACTGTGGTCCTTTTTAAAACGGGAACTCGATGTATCTTGAGTGAAATTTTAAACCCTCTTTCGTAGCTGTCTCTAATCTGACTACTAAGGCTTTAAATTTATAAGACGAACGAAAAACGATAAATACACTTCGCCTGAAGTATCAGTCGCGTCACGTATAAGCACAAGGTTTCTCATGTAAATGTAACCTGTATCAAAAATATATCATCTTAAAAACTGAACGTTTGAAGAAAGTATTTTATCTGGTGTTGATATCAACTTCTAGAAATTCAAATGCGGCGTTGTAAATTGTTCAAACACTATAGCAGTATACATTTCTCCGTGTTCCATATCAACCGATAACAATCGACTTAATTCTAATTGCCCGATTCATGCTCTTGTGAAAGCAACATTTTTATCAAAGAAAGACTTGTTTGACTCCCTATCACCAAGTGCAAACGTGTCTCGTGGAATTTTCAATGCCAGTGTTTATTTGGTTAGGAAGCATGCAGCTACCTTTACAAATTAGTATTAACAGATAAATTTACATTAGCATACACGGATACAAATTAGCATAGATATCAAAACTAAGATTTTGACGTGAGCATTAATCGCTTTCTTCTTCTGTAGCTTGTTCGTAAAGGGAAATTGAGCGAGGAAGTGTTCCCACCACCAGAGGGATTCGTAGAGAACAGTGAGGCAGCTTCGGGCACAACCAGCGTGGACAAGAGGAGGCGCCACCTGTCATATTGTCTCCGAAGGAGTGGTCCCAACTTTGTGCCCTACCCATGTTATAAATATGGAGGTAAGTTAACTAAACATTAATAAAAGAAAAAAAGTATATAAAAAAGAAAACAAACAAGTCAAAAAGCCCCGTTTTAATCGGTGGAGCACAGTCGTCTTCCCCATTCAATAGAACAAGTATTTGTTTTGTTTCTTGTCTTCACGAACATGAATATACGTCAAGTAATATTCAAATAGATAGATGGAAGTCATTCAGCAGAACCAAAATACGCAGATGAAACGATGTTGATAAAAATATAATTCTAGATATGGTTTCTTCTCTAATCTACAGGCCGACGATAAACAACATCGACAATGACCAAACATTTCAAGATGATCACGTGATCATGAACAAACAACCATCACGCTACATATCAGATTTTACGTCATTTTGTTGTGTACACTGTTGTCATGGATACCTGGATACAACGTTTGCTTATCGTAGCAGCCATTCTGAGGATTATTTTTTATTTACATTTGATCTTCTGAAATTTACATCGTCTGCAATGTTCAATCTATATTGTCATTTCTTCTGTGTTATTGATATGATCCGTATTTTGTATATACACAAATGATAAAAAGGTTGTGATAATATAACTTTGATAATGAATAATATAAACGTCAAAGGGGAGACAATCTTAAACCATCAATGACTTGTACACATCATTAACTATTCGGAGCGGTTTACAGAAGGATATTTCGAAAAGTGTATTTGAAACGCTTACCATATTTCGGATGAGAAGCAATGAGAATGTTATTTAACAAACGGGTGCAGCTTCACCCAGGTACTCGTGTTTGGACTCCGATCAAACATTCCATACCTGATCTACGGTAACCAGCGGGCTGGGCGATGTACGTGCAATATAATTCTATAGAACGTTATTGTCTTATGTTTTAGTTTTGTTGTATCCATAGCACCAAGCTCCTGGTCATGGTTTGTCTAGATAACCTGGTTCCCAACCAATGACTCCTCCCTCCCCATTCCCGGATGAATCAGAAATAGATAGATAGTTAGACGAGATAAGTTTTCCTGATCAGGAACGGATTTGTCCGATTAGCGATTAGAAACATATCTGTTGGAATAAATCTGGTATGATTATTAATGTTCGGTAGAAATCACGGAGTCCGGAGTTTATAGTGTTTGTAATACACTCAAATTTTATGCATAAAGAAATTAAGTTTCAATTCAACGGGATAAGAAGCTACTATCAAATATGTACACATGCGTGAGTTTGTATCCTATATTGTTAATATTTATGTAAATCTACATATTATTCCATTTAGTAAGTCTGATAATAGATGTCTTCTGTATATTTATCATATGCTTGGAAAACCGATAATGACTTAAATAGCAGTTGTGATAGGCACATCTATAGAAGCCCACATTTTCTACTATGTTTCACTCTCCATATCTCCTTATGTAGTAGATATACGTACATTTAAAATCGATAAAAACTATAATCAATACAGGATTTTTTTTAAATTTACAAGTGTTATCAGGCATTAACTGGCACGAAAAGGCACGAAAGGGCAGCTACATTTTACATTCACTCTAAATCAAAGATTCAATGAATTGTGGTAGACACCAAAAGCACCACAGTATAACTAATTCCCTCAATGAATAGGCACTGCCAATGAATATAATTCTGGTATCAGATGACTAGAACAGCGAATGTAGTTTACGTTATTATCGCGTTAAGTGTGTATGTACGGAGTGCAGTCGTTGTCAGATATAACGAAAAGTGGAAAACCGAGGTCATCAGATGCAACAAATTTTGGAACAGAGATTGTCAGATATAACAAAATTTGAAAGAGAGGTCAGATGTAACAATATTTGGAAGATAGGTCGTCTGATATAACAAAATTTGGAACAGAGGTCGTCTGATATAACAAAATTTGGAACAGAGGTCGTCAGATGTAACAACATTTGGACAATTTATGTTGCCAGTTGTGAACCCATTCGGACTAAATTTGTAAAACTGTCTTTGTTTATGTTAACGAATTTCGTTGGTTATCATCGGGCTCCTCGCCTCTGGTCTTGTTTTAACTTTTCAAATGCTTATTAGATTATAATCTGTTTAGTGTGAGGAGAATTAAGGAAACATGTATTTAACCTTCAGGAGTCAAGCACTCGATGACTGTAGCATGGATATCATTTGATAAATATAACTGATTAAAAGTAGCGTAAGCAGCAGACAGAATTCAGACGTCACACAGATCGTACGGTATACTTCTCATTATGCATATTGTTACATTGTTCTGTATAAGAACTCATTAAATATATTTCTTTTAAACGACTGATTTGTTGTTTCTATTTCTTTTAAGTAAAAAATGACATATATGGCTATACACTTCGATTTATATCATTGACCATAGTTTGGTGGTATGTGTGAAATCCGGAAAGCAGAGTACAATACAGCGCACACGTGTATACATCACACACAGTTTATAAAGACGGATAGCATTTTCACCACAAATATACTCATCATACGCATTGTCTCACGTCATCTGTGATGATATGTTTTACATAAACAAGTGTCCACATTTGCCTTTAACACTCATCCACTGGGCTGCACCAGGAAATTCCAATTGCCGATTCGTGAAAGTCGACTTCTATGGTAAATGCCATTGCCAGTGTCTATTTAAGAAGACGCTTGAGGCGATTTAAAACTTAAGTGAAATACAATCTTAACAGTTTGGGTGAAGGGCCATCTTAACAGTTTTGGTACAGGTCCAGCTTAACTGTGTTAGTTCAAGTCAAGTTTAACAGGAGTGATGCATGCAGAGACTACTTGTCACCGTTGCCTTGTCAGGACATTTTCACGGTAGTAATGTAAGACCATTTTATCAATATTGGTGCAGGCCCAGCTTAACAGTGTTGGTGTAAAAAATTTTGGTATCCGAAACAGAGAATCATTAAGGCATAGCACAGATACACTGTACTCTTAAGTACAATATAAGCACGTTCGCAAATGAAGTTTCAATGTCATCTACCTCTTACTAAATCTGTTGCATTTATGTACAAATGAAATATGTACTATAACAAATGTTCATATATTTGTTAGTTTTACATTTATCGGTCGGTTAGGGTCATCTTAAGGCTGTCTCGGCCTGACGCAGCTGGTCTATACCTTCACATGACACGCTGCAAAGAGCAATAGGGATAAAAAGCCTAGCACAAGTACAATGACAGCACAAGACGGCCATGAGCTCAGCTTCCCCGAAGACCGCATCGGTTTGGGATTGAGCCCCACACCTCAGATCTTTAACTGAGGTTGCAGTTGTTCAATGCTCTGTAACAACTTCGGCCAGCATTCTCACACGCTTTTGTAAGGTTTTTAATACGCTGGAGTTGTCTGTTTACCTATGACTTCAATGCTTACGACAGTGACGTGCCCCTGTATATAACACAGTGGACACTGCACATAACGCATCATCTTATTGAAACTGTTGTGATGAAGACAGTTTATGCATCAAGGTTTACAAGCAAATGGTTTTACACACAAGAACTGCACACGAGTTCAAACTTACAGTCCATATACATGTATATGTAAAATGGTGACGAGGGCTGTGATTCCCGAGAAGAGATAATTGAACCTGTTGTCAAGTTATATTTTTTTGATATTCCAAAGGCCGTAGATCTTAAGTGAAACTCGCCCTTGCTACTCAGTGGATACATTAAAATGAACCAGGTCCCAACATTAAAATGTTGCGAATTCTTTAAGCTACATCTAAATCATCTCCTCATGCAATGCTATCTAATTGTTCAATGTTCTTTCCCTCCTGAACGGAAAAACAAATTACTTTTGTGTTAGAAAATTGACACTCGCCGTCTGGGCAATTATCGAGCTAATTCTTTATTTGGTCATGCCTCAAAATTAATGGAAAGATGTATTCATAATATGTCTAATACTTTCAACAATACTATTCAACAGTCTACCAACTGATAAGGCTATTTCACAACATTGTTTTTTTTATTGATCAGACAATATATTCATATGTTGCCTTCTGCGATCTTTCCAAGGCATTATATACAGTATGACATAAAGGACGTTTATTTAAACTTCGTCAGTATGACACCGAGGGAAATCTGCAGCACTGGTTCTCCTAGATACCCAACAATCTGTTATTTACGGAAGTGCTGCTTCCTCTCATAAATATGTACAGGAAACTGTTCCGCAAGCACCTGTTCGTGGCCCTCAATTTTTATGAGAAAATTATGTTCCTGTCGATTCGTAGAAAACTTTTAAATTATTATTTGTCTATGTAACCCATGTGTCCACATATGGTATTTGAATAACAATGTAGAATAGATGCATACTCAGGTATCATATTGTAAATGTCCTTGTTACTGTTTTGTGAATGTGCACGTGACGTTACTAAGTATATGTATACGTGACATGTTGTTTACGTCTCATGTATTGTCCAGTGGAATGTGTGGTATGTGGCCGAACTAGTCCGACGTGACATGGACTTCAACGTGAACGCAACTCAGCACTTCTAACACCTGCATTTGTACTGCATGCTAATTGCGTTCTCCACACCTGTTTACGTCACTTCCTTTGGTTTTCTTTCTATCTGTCTCTCTCTGTCCTGGCACTCTACTGCTGGACGTCAGCGCGAGCGGTCCAGCAAGATCATAGATAGTACACATATACTATACGTATCACTTCGTATGGTGCGGGGCCAGTGAAGCCTGGTAAGTTGACAATGCTGTGAAAGTTGATTGTATCCGGCGCGTTCGTGATTGGTGAGTGTTTGTTTCGAAAGAGGCTTGGAGTCTAAATGTTTGTCTTGTCTTTTCAGGTTCTTTTTCCCTTCAGTAATAAATCGTCGAGCAAATTTGAAATCAGAGTGATTTGTATCTATATATATTCCCAACCACACCCCGGTGACAAATGGCGCCCAACGTCGTTTTTGACGAATGAAGGAACCAGGCCCTGACGTCCCTTTATGCACTATATGTGAAATGTACACGTGTCCATCGAACGAGCCGAGATGGCCAGCTCAGCATCACACGGACGTTTGTTTGTGCCGGCCTGATTCGTATTTCGTGAACTGAGGAGCTCCGGACTCTTTCAGCTCGTCGCCCCTGGAGAGACGGGATTTGGATATGTGACATTTGACTTTTGTGTATTTGTATTTTGTGTGTTGTCTCTTGAGTCGCGTGGAGTACGTAAGTATGAGGTGCAGCACGTGAGTATGGGATTCTAATAGCGAGTGAGCTGAGAAATTGTCAGCTTGCCAGGCTTTGCGCTAGTTAATTTTTGCGGTTACTGTAAGTTCCATATTACTATTGTATGAGCGCGTAGCTAATACCATATTCTATTTTTCTGATCATCCTAATTATTTTACTGCTACAGCTAACGTCTCCGTTATTAACATCAAACACGACTATAGACAATTGACAACTACATACATTTATCGGCTACTTTTGTCTTGTTATGCGTGTATTCGTGTATTTTTGTTTTATGTGTATATTTTGTTCAATGTTGTTTGTATAGAATTCAGTGTTAACCTTGTAGGATAGGATAGGTTATATCGTAGATTTGGCTTCATTTTGATTATTGCAGATTTTGGTTCTTTAATCTTAATTTTTCTTTTTTCTGATCAATATAGGATTTCAGGTACATGCAGGCATCTGTGTTCCAGTGTCCTGTAGCCAGATCCAGGGTTGACTATTATTTTCAGCATTTGGCAGTACATTCTTACAGAATTTCACAAGTACAGATTGTGCGGGTACGTGGGGGTGAGTACTAACCCTATCTGAGTTTATTGCATTTGGTTTTTTTTTCAGCTATATGTGTTATAAATGAATTCAAAGTTGGAAAAGTATATCAATAAGCCCATTGAATGTAGATATGCTACTTTAGTCAGTAAACCAATCATTATAACATCCAGTAAAGGATTTTCATTGCGCAGGAATTTAGATATTGCAAAAAATTTAGGTATAGATCTTGAGATTATTTCAAAAGCTGGTGCTAGATTTGCTGATTATTTACCGTGGCTGCGTAAGAATATCCCAGTGCTTGTTGGTCTTCACAACCATATTACTCTTTACGTTTGGCTTGGTACCTGTGATTTGACTGTCAAGCGAGGACCTTTCATTGAGTTGCGTCATGTGACCTGTGAAAGTGCCCATTCCTATTTAGTGCATTACATTACAAGTTTTAGGAAATTCATTTCTTCTTTTTCCTCGGTTAGTTTGATTTTTGTGGAAATTCCTCCCTATTCCATAATAGAGTGGAACCGATCCAAAGGTCATACTGATCCTGAGTCGTTTAAGAGTCAGGAAGCCAGTCTTAGGGAAAGGTTGTGTTTTTTGAATGATTTCCTAAAGTCTGTAAACTATGACTTGGGAGTTACCTCTCCTTCTTTAAGGGTTGACCTACTTCGTTATAGGAAAGCCAAAAATCAGGAAAACTACAGGGTTTCGGTTAATTTGAAATTGTATAAAGATGGAATTCACCCAGGAGCTATTCTAGCACGCTGCTGGTTGAAAAAATTTGTTGTATCCATTTTGGCTGTGTGTGTGTAACCACTTACATACAGTTTACACCTATATATGTGTAGTTGCTATTTTTAGGTACATATTTTGCTAGGTGGTGTCATGTACTGCATCACTCAATGCTGGTACCCGATACCGAGTGCCTTGTAGGTAGGGGAACTTCCCAATCACTTGGTTAACTCGAGTCATCATTTGCTAGTTTTGAGTGTAGGTATATTGCCATTGTATATATATTTTATAGTGGATAAATTTTACTTGTTGTATATTTTATATAAGTTGTACTTTGATCTGTCATGGCTTCTAAAGCTACGCCAGGTGACCTAGATAATGAACCCAGCACCAGTGACCTACACAATATATCTCAGGCAGAGATGGAAATGATCAAGGTCCTGAGTGCCACGGGTAAATTCAATATAACACCCAAAAAGGAAAAACTTCCAGGTTTTGGGGAGGGTTTCATTAAGACGAGTACTCCTCATGTTGGTAGGTTTGAGGATGAATATGAGGCCGACCGTGGACAGCTTAGCTATCAGGCTAGTCGCAGGTCTCATCATGATAGTTTGTTGGTTAAGGCCCCAGAAGTACCCAAGATACCTCCATTTTCTGGAGAAGAGCCTCCTATTAAAGGAGATGTGACCTATAGGGAATGGCGTTTTGAGGTGCAGTGCCTCACAGATGACCCAGACATTTCAGATAGTGTTTTGGCTCAGGCCATTCGTAGGTCGTTGCGTGGTACAGCGCGACGAATGCTTATGTCATTAGGGAATAGTCCAGATTTGACATTAGTCCTCTCCAAATTGGATAATTTATTTGGAGACATCAGTACAAATGGCATGATTATGCAAGAATTTTTTAATTCTTGTCAAAAACCAGATGAGTCAGTCACAGATTTTGGCTGTCGTCTGGAGTCAATGCTACATGTAGCTGTTGAGCATGGCTATTTGGATAGGTATTCAAAGAGCGAGTTGCTACGACATAAGTTTTGGACTTCGTTGTCTTCGGATAGATTAAAGAGTCAGACTAGGCATAAGTATGACACTATTAAAGATTTTGACCTGTTGCTTAGGGAAATTAGAAGAGTGGAGAAAGAGTTGAGCTTACAAGATACAGCTAGTGGCTCTAATAACATCAAACCTTCTACAACTTCTTCTTCGAAGGTAAAGGCCCGACAGCAGTCGGTTACCACTGAGTCGGTGTGTCTGATGGTCAATCACTAGAACAGAGGTTTCAGTCCTTGGAAAAAGATATGAAGGCACAAATGCAGCTGGTTTTGAACAAGCTTGATAGTTTAGGGAAAAGTTCAAGTGACGATGATAAGAAAGGGAATAGTTTCAAAAAGAAGGGTTACTACGGTAACAACTCTAAGGGTCAAGGTCAAGGTCAACAACAAGGTCAAGGTCAAAAACAGGGCCAAGGTCAAAAGAAAGGTCAAGGTGAAAATAAGAGCCAAGGTCAGGGTAAAAACCCAAAAGAGTAGGGGTCTCTACGGGTGGCCGCGTAGTGACCTCAGATGCTAGTGTTAAAGGCCAAGTCAATTTAATTGAAAGACTAGTAGGTGTCTCAAATGAGAGCACTATTTATCTGGACAAAAAGGAGTTCAGGGCACTAATAGATAGTGGATCTATGGTAACTACTATATCACAGAAAGGGTTTGAGTCCTTAAAACCTCAACCAGAGCTTCACAGTTTGGAGTCATTGGGACTTGAAGTCTCTGTGGCTGATGGTTCAAGATTAAAGTATCTTGGTTATATTGAGTGTACTTTTACTCTACCTTTTTGTGACAATTTCAATATGCCCGTTCCAGTGCTTGTGGTTCCAAATACTGAGCACAATGGAAATTGTCCTGTTATAGTAGGAACAAATGTAATAAGGCAGTGTAAGAACCTGGTTGATGAAGGATTATGTGAAAGTATTCCTTCAGCATGGCAACTGGCCATGGACAGTATCCACTGTGATCAATTTGTGGTCAAGTCCATAAACAGGAAACCTATTAGGGTACAACCCTTTGAGTCAGTGGTTGTTGATGGTTTAGTTAGGGGTTTTGATCCCGCAATTAACCAGGTTGTTACTGAGAACTTATCTCTGGACAATCTTAATTATACTGTTTATCCTAGAGTGGTTAATATGAACCAAAGTTCAAGTGTCGCTAGACTTCATGTTAAGATCTGCAATATAACCGCCAAGGCTATATCGATCAGACCTAGATCTGATTTATGTAAAGTCCAGAGTGTACAAATAGTAGATAACCTAGCATCGGATGTAAAGAGTGTTGTCCCTCAATCACAACCAGAGGAGTTGGGTGTAGTTATTGATAGAGACAATTTGAGTACTGACCAGCTAACTGAAGTCAGTCAGACTCTCAGTAACTGGAGTCATGTGTTCTCAAAGAACCCAAGTGACTTAGGAAGTACCAGTATTACCAAACATAGAATTGAGTTGTTTGATGAAAAACCTTTTAAGCAACCATATCGTAGAGTTCCACCTGCTATGTTTGAGGAGGTACGCCAACATGTTAAGGACATGTTAGACATTGGCGTTATACGGGAATCAAATAGCCCCTTTTCCTCGAACATAGTATTAGTGCGAAAGAAAGACGGTTCGCTTAGGTTCTGTATCGATTACAGAATGTTGAACTCTCGTACCAAGAAAGACGCCTATATGCTCCCTAGGTTTGATGATGTTATAGACACGTTGAGTGGGTCTAAGTATTTTTCAAAACTAGACCTGAGGTCAGGATACTGGCAAGTGGAGATGGAGGAGGAGGATAAGCATAAGACTGCCTTCTCTGTGGGAAATCTCGGTTTCTATGAGTGTAATAGAATGGGATTTGGACTCACTAATGCTCCTGCTACATTTCAAAGATTAATGGAGAAATGCATGGGTGACTTGAATCTCAGAGAATGTCTGGTCTTCATTGACGACATACTCATTTTCTCCAAAACCTTTGATGAACACTTACGCAGGTTACAATCAGTCTTTGCTAAGTTAGAGGAGCATAACTTGAAACTAAAACCATACAAGTGTGAGTTATTCAAGACCTCCGTATCCTACCTAGGGCATATAGTGTCAGAAAAGGGGATCAGTACAGATCCTGATAAAATCTCAGTTGTAGAGAATTGGCCTGAACCCAAAAACATCAAGGAGCTTCGACAGTTCCTAGGGTTTGTTGGATACTACCGAAGGTTTGTAAAGGACTATGCTAAGATAGTTCAACCTCTCAACTCTTTGTTGAAAGGTCATGGCACTACGAAGAAAGCCAAGGAAAACCTTCGCACAAAAGTAACAGTTCCAGCTAAGTGGACCTGGGATGAAGCACAGCAGGAAGCATTTGACACCATTAAGAGCAAAATGGTTAGTCCCCCAGTGCTGGGCTATGCTGATTACTCCCAACCATTTGTGGTGCATACAGATGCATGTGGGTCTGGCTTAGGTGCTGTTCTTTATCAAGTCCAACAGGGTCAAAAAGTTGTTATAGCATACGCTAGCCGTGGGCTTAGACCTAGCGAAAAGAATTATCCTGCTCACAAGCTTGAATTCTTGGCTCTCAAATGGGCGGTCACGGATAAATTTCATGGCTATCTGTATGGTACGTCATTTGAAGTGATCACCGATAACAATCCTTTAACTTACGTCCTCACAACGGCAAAGTTAGATGCCACGAGCCACCGTTGGGTAGCTGCTCTGGCAGCGTATGATTTCACAATCTCCTATAGATCGGAGAAGTTGAATACTGATGCTGATAGTTTGTCGCGTCAACCACAACTATTCTCAGATGCTGTAAAGGCAATTTGTCAGTCAGCCTTGGTCTCGGTACCGTTGATTGCCTCAGTGTCAGTTGAGGCCACTCCTCCTTCGGCCGGGGAGGTTGTGGGTTCAGGCACAGAGGTTGGTAAGGTTGATTGGGCTTTGGAGCAGAGGAAAGATCCTGCTCTAGCTAGACTTTGTACTTTATTCAGTAGCGACCTTTTCCCAGGGGGAGAAGTGGCAAAGAATGAGCCGCCTGAGGTACGCAAGTATCTCAGGGAACGCCGGCGCATCTCTTTGGACCAAGGTGTTCTTTTTAGGACAGCTACTGTGGATGGTACTCATGTCAAGCAGTTGTTGGTACCACCAGCATACAGAGCCCAGGCCTTGAAGGGGGTCCACGATGACGTGGGTCACCAGGGTAAGGACCGAACGCTTTGGTTGGCTAGACAGCGCTTTTACTGGCCTGGTCTAGAGAAAGATGTGGTAGATAGAGTAGAACAGTGTGGGCGGTGTGTTAGGAGGAAGACCCCGGTGAGACGAGCTGCAGGCTTAGTTCCTATTCTCACAAGCCGGCCATTGGAGTTAGTGTGTATAGATTTCCTCAGTTTGGAGAAGTCCAAAGGGGGGTATGAAAACATACTGGTAATAGTGGACCACTTTACACGTTATGCGCAAGCAGTACCGTGTCGTAATCAGTCCGCTCATACCACAGCTAAAGCTTTATACGAGGAATTCATTGTTCATTATGGGTTTCCCGAAAAGCTTCATAGCGACCAGGGCCGCAACTTTGAGAGTAAACTGGTGAAGGAACTATGTAAGCTTGCTGGTATCAAGAAAACCAGAACTACTCCGTATCACCCAATGGGGAATGGGTCTGCCGAGAGATTCAATCAGACTCTGTTAGACATGCTCGCCATACTGGTAGAGGAGAAAAAAACAGATTGGAAGTCATATGTCCCATCCATGGTTCATGCTTACAATGCTACCAAGAGTGACTCCACCGGTTACTCCCCTCATTTCCTGATGTTTGGGTGGCATCCTAGGCTGGCTGTAGATGCTTTCCTCGGCATCGGTGCAGGTAGTACTGGGGATGGTAACCATGACACCTATGTCCACAAACTGGGAAGAAAACTTGAGTATTCATACCATGCTGCGGCAAAGGAAGCTGGCAGAAAAGCCGACAAAAACAAGGCTAGGTATGATACACGAGTTCGGGAGTGTACCATAGAGGTAGGTGACAAGGTCCTCGTCAGGCAAGTGGGTTTCCAAGGGAAACACAAGCTAGCTGACAGGTGGGAGCATGATCCATATAGGGTGGTGACCATTATAGACGACGAGATCCCTGTCTACAAGGTGCGTAGGGAGAAGGGAACTGGCCCTCTTCGTACCCTGCACCGGAATATGTTGTTGCCATTCACTGCACTACCTACCGATGAACTAGAGGAGCAGGTGAGCTGCAAAGCCCCCACATCTCCAGCCACTCGGTCAAAGAGGGTGAGCAAGCCTTGTTCTGACTCTGACTCAGACTCAGGTTCCAGTAGTTCACAGGATAGTTGCAGTGGGCGATATGTTATTCCCCAGCGTCGTAGGCAGGAGTTATCTCCCATACGTGATCATGGCACTTTGGGAGGGTCCGGGAGCTCAAATAGGTCAGGAGGCTCCAGGTCAGTATCCGGAGTTGTGGAGATGCCCAGAACAATCTCTCCGATATCGCATAGGGAGTACCGAGGTTCGGAGTCCGTATTGCGGGAGGCTCCAGGGAGCCTGGAGCAGGAAGTCCGTCCGGAAAGAGCTCGGAAACCCCCGGACAGATACGGGGATTGGGTTATGTCTCAACTTGTCAGGGAGGGACCCACTAAAGATGAAATTTATGTTTGAACTATATCCGGGTTTGGTTTTAACTAGGTTATTCATTTTAAATGTGTATTGTTTGCACGTGAATTAGTATTTGTATACTGTTAAGGATATAAGAGAGGGCAAAGTGCCCTGGTACATGGTGCAAAGCACCAGGGTTGTATAGGTGGTACTAAAAATTATTAATTGGAATTTTACTTCCAGCAGGTATCAAAGGCTGATTTTATTCCCAGCAGAGCGGTATTTTATGTTTTTTTACTCACTCTTGGTGGAGATTGAGATTTGGTACTGTGGTTATTTATGTATTTAAAATACTAATCTGTGAGATCTGTTTTTGTTGCAGTGCTGCAATGTACATATACTGATTTGTTTTATTTTCAGAATTTTGTATACATAGTTTGGTTCTATTGTAGGCAGACCATGTGCCAGGTTGCTGCCGTAGGAATGGGTGATTAATCAAAAGTAGGTTTGATGCTTATGCATTATATCTTAAGTATATTGAAAAATGTGGGACACATTTTCCCCAAGGGGGGGAGTATGTAACCCATGTGTCCACATATGGTATTTGAATAACAATGTAGAATAGATGCATACTCAGGTATCATATTGTAAATGT